TCGTTGCCATCTGATTCCATGGGAATATCTTTGCGGCGTTCGAACAGTTCTATAGAACGAGCAGAGATCCAGGCATTTAAAGGGTGTCGAGTTAGGCCGCAGCTTGACTGTCCGGAAATGGTTATTGCTTTCCGTATACAAGTCCAGTGGTGCTCCACGTCTTGCGGTGGATTGCAACTAAGTGCGTATGCCAGTGAAGTCTGATAGCTTGCCTGGACAGAGGAATCAGTTAATCTGTTTACATCAATCTTGCGGTGCTTCGTGTTTCAGGACGCCTCAAAACATACAGATTTTCGCGCAAATCAGTGAACGATCTGAGTACACGAATGTGGACCAAAAGTACCTGTAATCCAGTACACTGTCACGCCATCTGAAGCTAATTGCAATGTGATTTATTTGAGATCACAGTTGTGTTGGCGAAGGGGAACGTCACATTGCAGAACGCTTCTTCGTACGCCTGAAGTTAGTGCAAGAGAGAAACAGATGGTTGTCTTCTCACAATGTGAGAAGCCTCTCTCCGTTATCAGAGCGGTTCTCATCGAGCGCGTGATGACCACCAAGGTGGCGTTCGTATGGTAACATGCGGCCAACCCATGCATTAAAATCCCCATCAAGGATAACGACATCCGACTTTTTAGCATTAGTCAAGAGCTGATGTAGATCCCGGTAGAATTCGTCTTTGACCGAGTCGCCACTGCAGTCAGTTGGGGCGTACATGAAGGTCACAAACAAGTTGCGTCTCTCTTCGCGGTGCTTGTTGATTTTTATGAACCCCGAAGCCGAACTGCACATAGTCGGCTATTAATTGGGAACCAGTCCAGTAGTACCGCCTCGGCCTTGCCACTCAGTGCTATACCTACACCAGCCAAACCCAATGAGGCTGCTGCTGGATCGCCAGAAAGACGTAGGTGATATCTGGCTTCGTGGTCATTGGGGGATGTCAATATAAGCACAGTACTGGGATCTTGCAACCGTGTATCTGAAAGGCAGCAGACATCAATGTCCGGCTTGCTGTCCAATCTGCATGAGTATCCGAACGTTGAAGCACGCCAGACGGAACGAGGATCGGGGACGAAGGAGAGCCATAGGTTGAACTCATTGGTCCGCGACGCAAAAGGAATCGCAGCCAGATTATTGAACACATGAATCGGGTAACGGAAAGTGAGGATTGTTAACAAACAAAGAACTAGCGTGTGATGAAGTCGCGTAAATATGAGAAGCAGAAACAGCAGCTGATGAGCACGTCGTAGTACAGTCCATGGTTTTGTGAGAGGGCGTGAGAATACCCGGTTGCCCAAGCCGAAGTAAGGAGTTGACTTAGGGGACTCCATCCTGAGCCTTTGGCTAAATAACCTACCCGCAAGGCAGCGGGGCGAATTTAGGGAATCGTGCCTATTGGGGGGCGCTGATTGAATGTTCAGTTCATGCACCTCTGTTTGGTAGATCACCAAACAGCGACCCAATACTCCCCATGAAATCAACACAATTGCTGGACTATAATGCGCCACCGAGGTGGAACATTGTCGCCGAACACTTTGCTGGAACGGGGTACACCTGACCACCCAGCTGGCACCACGAGGTAGTTCGGAAAGTCAGCCTTGCACGTCTGTGAGCTGTCACAGATGAAGGCTATGTAGTCGGTTTATTCTAAATCAAGAAGTCGTTCACCTAGAAGCAGCTCCACACCTTCCAAATAGTGTTCGCCGAACGCCATCTCCATGACTTTGTCAATGGCGAAGTTAAAGAGGGAAGGTGACAATGGGCAACCATGTCTCACACAGCTGGAGATATTGAAGGGCGGCGACAGTTTGCCGTAAACCCTCACTCTATCTCAACTATGCGCGGATAGCACTCTCATGACATTTACACATTCATCAGATACACCTTGACTCAGTAGGCAGTCCCAAAGAGCAGGTCGATCCACCGAATCGAAAGCACCTTTGATATCGATGCACAGGACTAAGGGAGGCACACAGAAAAATGATGAAACAACAATTGACATAATGTGAATATATGGTCAATACAGCCTCGGTTTCAACGAAATCCGGCTTGGTAATCACGAATCTAGCCTTCACGAGTGTCAGCCAGTCTATGGAGGAAGACAGAGGTAATCAACAGAGACAAGTGAGATCAGATTGATCCCCCTACGATTGTCGTTTTTCTCATGTGAGCCTCCTTCGAAAACCGGGGGCACAACGAGGAGGACCCAGTCTGTTGGGACAGTCTCCTGCTCCCACGGCTGCATTAGCAAGTTGTGCAAAGCATCCACAGAAGCTGATTCCCCGATTTTGGAGAAGGATGAAGGGAGTCTATCTGCTCCTCCGACCTACTTAATTCCAACGGTCGGATCTCACGCTCGACTTTTGCGTGGGAGAGCGGATCTAAGAGAATGGCCCAGGCAGAAGAGTGATTAATGGCCAAAAAGAAAATGGGAAATTATGACTGCTTTTCAAAATGTTCGGCGCAACACACCAAGCATTGGGATAAGCTGTGATTTGTCAGTCGACTCAAGTCGCATATAGTCTTTCAAACACCAGGACTCCTGTTTCTGGTTTCCTACATCAGACGAGAGCGATAGCTATTCCATTTCTAGAGCACAATGAGATCACAAAAATTCGCGGACTCTCTACGACTGGCGCGTGGTTTCGCTTTGAGGGGTTCGATTCCAGCCAGAACGCATCGGCCAGCATCGAGGAGTTCCAGCGACTGGGTGAAGACGCAAGGTACAAGCTGACGATTTGATTCTGTCACATGAAAAACACGCTAGCTGCTAATAACGTCAGGCGAACATGTAACCAGTGATCTTCAACTGCGTTCAGTAAGCGCTCAATCAGACCGGATACCAGCGGACTTTGATACGAATTTAGAACAGCTGGATTCGCGAGTTGATAAGTACCGAAGCGCTCTTAGTGTTTTGTGAATGTCCACCGAAACCCACCCGCAAGTCGGCAGTTATATGTGTGTGGTTGAAGTCCATGCTCCTACTGTAAATCAAACAACAGCTTTAGCCATACCCTTTCCTACGGTAATTAATCGCGACATTAGCGATTGGCGTTCACAGCTGGTGAGCGCCTGTTATTCTTCTGTGTGTGTTGTGTCTGAAGTCACTGATCGCGAGAGGTAGACGAACATCTTCATACAGGTGAAACAACCGCCCACCGTTGGTATTACGGGAGCGTACACAGTGTTGGTCACCTAGGTGAAACACATCAGCGACATTGTTCCAGGTTGGACGTTCAAATCACCAACAAGCGCCCCAGTATCTGTAATTCATCTGTAATGAGAGCGTGTTCAGTTGGTTATAAAAGCCATCTGTCGCCAAATCAGTGCTAAGATTTATGGGGGCGCCGTTGGCATCAATAAACAGGCACCGTTTGTCCCCGCGCAGCTTCTAACGAGCCAGCCACTCTGACGGTATATATACGGCTGCTGACCGGGATCCGGTCAATCGAAACAGCTTCAGTCTAGGAAATTAGAGCAAGGCCCAAATCGGCTTGACCGGCATTTGAAGCTGTCATTTTTGGACAAGCGCAATGAGAAAGTTTCGGCAGTGTCGCATGTGGGGGATCACAGAGTGAGCACAGAGCTCGAATCTTGTAGGAGGGTTTCTGAGAAATAGCTAATATCAATCGATAGGGTTTCGGATATTCGGGCAAGGGCAGCCTGCTGATCGATTTGTAACCAAGTGCGCACATCGAGGCATGCCGGTCTTAGCGAGGATTAAGGGCTGTAAATGGAAACGAGGAATTGACGTTGTTCACTTGGCTGAAAATAAACTTGTTGACTGGACGGCAGTGACACTACGATTGCGTGTGTTAAAGCAAGATAAGCGACTACTGGAGCAAGATGGGGGTTACCAAGAAATGGGGGTTGAAGACAGGGGGAAAAGTGTATTCGGAAGAGAAGGACAAGGATGAAGAACCGCAAGAGGAGGAATAAAAAGACGGAAAGCTCTAGGCAGTAGCATCCTCAGCGTATCCACCCTTCTCGATGCAGCAGATAGGGCACCGTTGGTTATCATCTCCGGCAACCAGAACATAAAGGAACTTTTTATAGAAAAAGACATTGTCGCGCATGGGGAGGATACTGTCAGGTTGCCTAGGCTTAGACAGGAGAATTATTGGGGTGCTAAACGATAGCCTTTGATTTAAAAACCTGACCGCAAAGCGGCGGGGTATTGCACTGGACTACAGAGAGTCCGTTTTATGGAGTAAGGAGCCACCATGACTCCAACCTCAAACCTAGAGGGCCAGGAGACTGAGTTTGTTTGACCTCTAACAAATGACCAATCTGGTATGTGACTCTGAAGGTGAAAGAAGAACCGTCTAACATAGCTCAATAGATCTGAGGCAAGCAAACCATCGCACCACGTTAAGGTTGTTGTGATGGTAAATCGAGGGGATGATTCCTTGCAACTCATGGCAAGTTTCAAGGTGAAATCAGTAGCGTAGCAGGACATGACCAGAGTTGAAGAATAGGTTCCAGAAAGAGCAGCAATTCAGGATGGAATCACGCTATCTGAAACAAATGGCGATGAGGTATACTTGGGTCTATCTCTGGCCAGCTGTCACAGGACGCACATATCGTTATTTATTGCATCTGGAAACAGTATTAAGTCCAAACAACCGGTGACCGGTGCACGATTACAATAAACACTATGCATTGTTTGCGAGTTCGAAAATAGGCTTTAACATGACAGCTGCCTGGGATTCTGAGGGGATTAGACGACCTATTTGCACACGTATACCAAGTTAGCCAAAAAAGAGACTGAGCTAGATGTAGCGAGATATCAATCAAACTATTCGAGGAAAGCGAGAATAACAACAAATTTCCATCTCTAACTAACACATTAGTGGTCTTTTTGTTTAATGGATTTTAAAAGTAACAATTTACATCTACCACTTATCTGGCAATGGGACTAAAACGATGACATGACGCCATCGAACAAGAACCAATATGATCCGGACTAGCACACTTCAGATAGACAACACTATACAAACCTTCTCCAGTTGTTGCTGACGGTGGGATAAAATGTATGGCTGGATGTCAGTCAAGTAGTGATTGAAATACTGTTCTTGCATCTTCAAAACGAGATCTTTTTGCTGAAAAGAGAAAGAAATTAAATGGAATGGGTAGGAGGAAGCGCACTTGTTCGGGATCCTTCGGATGCTGCTCCCTGGCATACTGTTCATAAAGTATCTGGGTTTGCTGGTCCAGTGCCTTCCTTATGGCTGCTCTGTATCCCATAGAAATAGGACAAGGAAACAACAAATTACTGGTGACGCATTTGTTCCACATACACTGCATCTGGTGTCGGCACAAAATCATAATCTACCTCTTCATAAGCACCAGGGTCACTCTGAGAGTTCTCATGGTGCGGCACGCTTTGATGACATGTACAACGAGCATCTTCCGATAACGAAAGAGAATCAAGAGTGGTTTCTATGCTTTGATCCAACGGAATGGATGACTCGTTGCTTTCACTCATTGATGGGACAAAGATGCCTAAAACCCAGAAAACAATAGTGCTTGATGCATATATACATACATTATACATGTTAGCTAGAGGCGGAAAAGACCTCAACTATTGCGCCGTAATACATAAGAAGAAAAAAACTGCAATCGAGTCACGCCAGCTGAGCCACCAGTAACGGATGGGCATCGTTCCGAAAAGCGACCAGCCGGTATGTCGCCGCAAAAAATTAATACAATGCAGAATTTATAATATGCTGGAAAATGGGATCATGGTTGAAATGGGAGGCTAGGCAGGAAGAAGAGGGACAAAGAAGCTCGCAACACAAATGCCATTGAGGTCGACCCCTCGTCACGTCAACAAGTGCATTCGACCAAACGTGTTCACCATCGTGCGAATCCCAACCAGGCTCTAACCGAGGCCAACTTCGAAGTAAGGGCCTTTATTCCTCTTGACTAAGTCATCGTTTCGTCAATACTCATCTTTCATCCACACCCCCTGCGCGCAAACGCACGTCGCGGGAGTCGGAGGGCTGGCATACGCAACATGTAACATAGTCATCGGGGCCTGGTGCGTGAAATAACGGCACCGAGCGGTTCATTTCCTTTTCCTGTGCCGTAAACAAGGCGTCGAACATGCTCATAGCTCCCACGGTGCTCCCACCAGATATGAGCCCAATTGTGAAGGCACCAGTGGTCGAACGTAAGTAGCCCCTTTATGTCTATCGACCTGACGGGCCAGTTTTCACAACCGTACAGCAGAGTCGAAAGTGCCGTTGCGTTGTACTCTCTACCGTTATGGGATAGAATGATGTAGCACCGGCGCCTTAAGTGGTGAAGGTTAGCAAAACCGCCCGAGCTTTCGGTAGACGGATTATAACTTCGTCTTCAAAACAAGAGGTGGTGATACAACTGCCCAGGGAGGTGAATTTTTAAACGACTTCTAGCTAATCCCCAACAAAAGTCAGCGCAGGAGGCGATCCCCGCCAAGCTTGGAGGAAAGATTTGAACGGCGAGGGTGCAAAGCTAAGCCCGATACACTTGACAGCCAACGCTAACCTGTCCAGTGCATTTTGACACGTTTGTGAGCTGTTACAGATGTAGCAATATTGTCAGTACTAAAAGTCAAGAAGTCGTGTCCTGTGAACACAATCGCCATGACTTCGTCAATAGTGAATTTAAGATGAAAGTGGACAGCGGGCATCGTTGTCTTACAACACTGGAGATATTGAAGGGCGGCGACAGGTTGCAGTAAACCCTCACACTACCCGAGCTACACGTGTAAAGCGCTCGGGTAATATTTACATATTTTTCATGTACACTTTTTCTTAGCAGACAGTACCAAAGGGCACAGCGATCCACCGAAACAAAGGCCCCTTCTATGTTAAGGAATACGGTGTCATGTACCTTTAATGTTGTTATATTCCAATTTGTTTCTCTTTTTACAGCCCATACGTCCGAAGTATTAATCGAGTAAAACCTCCAAATCAGACTTTGCCATCTTAATTCAGTCCTGAAATACTCCGTGTTCATTACAATTAATTCGAGTAATGTAACAAACACGTGGATCAAATTTAACGACCAGATCGCTTTGACGTGAATCTTCTGAGGCCGGAAAATGCTGGTCCCATTGGACCTATACTTTCAACAACTTAGTATCGATCGAATCCATGAAGCCGTACAAGCTTAAAACGTTAATAACTGATCTGCCCTGTTCGAGGTGGTTGTTCAGTGCTCTTATTATGAGGATGCCGTCAAAACGCTACAGGATATCTACGTGAAAAGCAAAAACGAAATTTTCGCACGCTACATCCTACTTACTGATAGGCAAGAAAACGGCGAATCGTTCGATCAATTCATTCAGCAACTAAATTCTGCTGTTAGTGACTGTATTTGTCTACCAGTCTCCGCCGACGAACCCAAGAATCAAGCTATCAGAGATGGTTTTACCAGCGGTCAACAATATAACCTCATCTGGCAAAGATTAGTGGAACAAAAATCGCTTGATCTTCAGTCCGCCTTCCAGATGGCTAGATCACTAGACTTGGCCCCAAAACAAGCTACCTCTTATAAGATAAGGACTTGTAACCACGATGAACACCGAAATCCCATTATCTGAGCCGCAGCTATCTGTTCAAGAAGAACCTATCTCCGCGCCCTCTCAGTCAAGGTGCTTCTTTTGCGGCTACGCTAGACATGATAAATCAAGGTGTCCCACAAGAGATGCGATAGGTAAGAAGTGTGCAAAAAGACCATTTCCAGAAAGTTTGTAAATTCAGATCAAGCACAAATCACGGCTCCAACGTCTCTATGTCAGTTTTATATTCTGTGACATCTGCTACGCCCAGCAGCCCCTGCAGTGCCATTACCAACATTTTGGTGAACGACATACCGCTTCAAGCCCTAGTCGATATTGGGAGCTCTGAAAGCAAAACACTTCCGCTTCGGTTGTAAAGCTTAGCAAAGTTTCCATCGAAACCCCGCGTGAACACATCGTTACGGTGTCCACCACTCATTCCAGTTTCACCCAACATGAGCTAAGCTGCGAAGGCAGCGGTGACCGAGTTGGAGGAGCCTCTTTATGTCTGTCAACCTGATGGGCCAGGTTTCACAACCATATAGGAGAGTTGAACGGACGGCTGCGTTATAAACTCGGCCCTTCGTGGCAAGAGCGGTCTGGTGAACATGCGACCAGTGACCTACAACTATATTCAGTGAGCGCTTAGCCCGGATGCCAGAGTACTTCGATGGGCATTCAGTACAGTTGGCTTCGCCAGTTGCTTGGTGTTAACGCGCTCATAGCGTCGTTGCGGACGTCCACCGAAACGCGCTCGCAGACCAGCACATACAAGTGCATGGTCAGTGTCCACACATGTGCTCCAAATCGAACGACAGTTTTAGACGCAGCCTTGTAACAGAATCGCATGAGGAGGAATACGACGAGTGAGAAGAGTATGAGTTCGAAAGATTAGGCTTTAGTCAGCAAGCAACCGATGCATATGGGTTAAAATCAAATACGGAAAGGTTATGGCAAAATAGCAAAACGTGAGTTCACATATCATAGGGTAACTCCATTACGACGCTACAGATTTTGCGGGTTCAAGAAGGCTGTTTTGGATATTGCAATATATGGACTATTAGCGTCTTACGTCTATATTCGATGGATCGATGTCGGTCCAATATTTCTAGCTTGCTGAATAAATTGCAATGGAAGTGAATGAGGAAAAATACGCCGAGCGAGTAGTAGTAGTAGTAGCAATCTCGGCAATCTAGCAACTAAACATAGAGCCAACAAATCCATGGAGATCAGCGGGTAAGGGAAAGTCATCGCGTCTTAATCATCGTGGCATAGTAGTTGAAGGTGAGCAACACACTTCAGCTAATATCCCGACGGAAGAAAAAAACATTTTGACAAAAGTAGAACAAATCATTTTTAGTTTGTTTTTCACACGCCGATTTTTCTCTTTTTTATTATTTTCAATGTGGGAAGTATTAAACATGTGAATCAATACAATACTGTACACAATTCTTCCACTGATTCCGGTTGCGGGCCATGTCTTCAAGAGTGCTAAGCCATTGGCACTCCTCATCTTTGGGTCCCCATCCTGGAAGATGTACGGAGCCAACAACGGCTAGACACGACGTCAGCGATTTCATGTGCTGCCGCCATGTAGAAGGCTGACCACCACGCGGTCGCCTCCAGCCAGGTCTTTGACCAGCGAATGGAGCGCGACGCGGTAGACGCTCAGGTGCCATACGTAGGACGTGACATAGCCATCTCAACTGGTGCAACAAAACCAGTTTGTTGAAGGGAATACTCGCATTTCCCCAGGTGCGACGTCGAACATCATTACTATTAACTCGATGTTGACACCAAACACGAGCAATCTTCCTTAAGCAATTATTATCGAAGGCAGAAAGATGACGCATGTCTTCCACGCGAATCGGCTAGGACTCGTTCCCATACAACAATACTGAGCGAACTGATGCGCTGTAAACGCGGCCCTTTAGCGAGAATGAAACGCCGCGACAACACCACAAGTGCCTCAGATTGACAAATACTGATCGACCTTTATCGCTGGATCCCAGTCAACAGTCGGCTATGCGCAGTCAGACTACGAGGTTCATGTAACGTAAGCAGGCGTCGAGACGTTAAGCGTGCCTTGTTTGTCGTCTCCGCCTACGCCCATACAGACTGCAGCCCGGATGCAGTTAAAGATATCTTTTACCAGCAGCTACATGAACTTCTGCGTTCTTGCAAAAGGACTTATATAGTCATTCTTGCCGGGGACTTCAACAAGTGGGTTGGCTGTCTTCCACCAAGCGAGCACCACCTTGGGGGTAGTTTTGGTCTCGGTGGCAGTCGATCAGACATTGGAGACAGACTGCTTGCTCTTTGCTCTGATCATCGCTTGTTTCTTTCGAGCACCAGTTTTCGGCACTCGAGGAGACACACTGCTACCTGGCGCCCGCCCTCACAAACGCAAGAGTGCTCCCAGTTTGACCATATAGCAATCAGCTACAGATGGCACGGAAGCGTAACGAACTGTCGATCGTACTGGTCAATTTATCTAGACTCCGATCACGCATTGGTTCGTGTTAAGATTTGCATGCGTTTCGGAGGATCACCTAAATGCGCTCACTACCGACCGGATGTCGTAAATCTACAAAACCGTGATTTTAAGCAGGTACCAAGCCTCAATGTCAACCTTGCTTGGCTCAACTACTGATGGTGATCTCGATTCGCAGTGGGCGCAGATCAAAGATGCCTTAGTTTCCGCCAGTATCGACCATGTGGAGTTGCTCGTCACCCAGCGAAGCATTGGATTTCCGCCGTCTCTTTGTCGCTGATGGACAAACGCCGTTTGATCCCGTCGGATTCCAGACACAGTGAAGAACGCCAATCCCTTGGTCGAGAGTTGCGCAGGAGACTGCAAATGGACCGTGAAGCTTGCTGATGTGAAGGTGCTAGGGAGATGGAGCTTGCTAGTCTCTCTGGTAATACCAGAAAACTTTTCCATCTCATTCGAGT